AAAAAAATGTTTATTTTGAAAATGACAAGTTCTGGAGAATAGTCTGGAGCAGAGGTCAGAAGAAAATAGCAGAATTAACTGTCACAAAAGACATAGAATGAAATATTTTAATTGCAATAGGAAGAGGCAAGGCCAGACCAGAGTCTTAATACTGGACCATCTTAGAAATATAGGGGAGACAGGGGCTTAGAAAAATACTAATAGAATTTATATACAGCTATGCCCCACTTAGGAGCTCTGGTGGCATAGTACCTAAGGCATTTGACTGCTAACCAGAGGCTGGTGGTTCAAACCCATCAGCCACTCCTCAGAAGAAAGATTGAGTAATCTACTTCTGTAGTGATACAACCTCAGAAACCCAAGGTAGGGTTGCTATGATTTGGATCTGACTGGATGGCAGTGAGTTTGGCTTTATTTTTTTTACTCCCCACTTATTAACTATCTCAATATCTCGCATTCGACATTTACAACAACTTTGAAAAAAATTCTCAGATGGAGTCTTCCATATTCTGGGCCCCAAGCCTGGGGTACTCTCTACAGATAAACCCAAATAGTGACTAGGCCACAGAAGGACAGTGGTTGACTGGCCACAAACACCATCTCCCATTTGTCCACATCTCAGTCAGGCTACAGAGGGTGGAGGCCAACACTGGGATGACTCAAGGTCATGGTCAGACAGGGGGAGGTGCAGCAAAGACATAAAGACAACAGGGAAGTTGGTGCAGGAAGGCAGGAAGGAGGGCAGAGAGAAGGAGGTTGTGTGGGGTTGTGGAATCACTGAGGTGGGCACACAAAGGACAAGCAGCATCTCTATCCAGGGCGGGTGACAGGAGGTGGTGGGCGGAGGACAAGTGGGGCCCTGACCTGGACACATGCCAGGAGGTGGCAGGTGGTGGACAATGCCTGACCACCACCATCCCTACCACCACCATCACCATGAGCTCTGTGTTAGTGGGGAAGGTGCTGTGGGGAAGGGAGGCCCACAGTACCACACATATGATCCCAGGGGCACCCAGCAGGCAGTGAGCAATGGGGAACTGGTACAGAAGATGGGGCTCAGCTGGACTCTTGCATAATGCCAATATCACATAACATCCTTCTCTTTGGAACCTAACCATGACGAGAAGTGAAGAGTGGGTGCAATTACAAAGATACCTTACATTTAATAATATTGCAAAGTATACAAAATGAAAATGATGCAATTATAAAAATTTTTATACTAGTAATTATCTAACATTTATTTATCACTTACTATGTTCTAGGCACTATACTAAGCACTTCATATTCACACAAAAAGTATGAAATTGCTATTTCCACCCTCACCTTAAAATGGAAAAACTTAGACTCTGAAAGGTTAAGTGATTGCTTAAGGTACTAATGTAAGAGATCCAGCTAAGAGTCACCTCACTTTCCTCAAACTAAATATAGTTACTCTTTCCACTGTGGCAAGATCTCTTCAAGTATACCCCACATCAATGTCATTTACATTACGGGAACTAATATTAAAAGTAAGTGTTCTTCTATACTCCACCATTAAAAAAAAAATTACAATTCAAATTGTTATTAATATAATGCATAGTAAAACTTTATGCAGTGATATTGAATTTGTAACTAAAATAATATATAATTTCAGGATAAACAGGGTAAAATGAACCTGATCAAAAAATAATAGCAAACAAACAAAAAAAAAAACCCATTGCCATTGAATCAGTTCCAACTCATAGCAACCCTATAAGACAGAGTCGAACTGCCCCATAGGGTTTCCGAGGCTGTAATCTTTAGAAAAGTAGACTGCCACATCTTTCTCACATGGCTAGTGGGTTCAAAGCACAGACCTATTAGCTAGAGCCTGAGTGTTTTAACCACTGCATCACTAGGGCTGAATCTCTAAATAAATAGTAAAATACAATAAATAATGAAAAGTGGAGAGTATAATTTTAAGTAAATACATTAAATTACCTGAAACCCTCTATTCATATCAAGACCATACCAAACAGGCTTCTGGTGAGGAGATCTGCTTGTCCACCAGGTTTTACGTGGTATACTGGATGGGTTTGCTGAAATACAGGTTTCTCCTGTTTCCATGTTGCAGTGAACTTTGATTGCATCTTCAACACATCCCTGGTTAGGGTCAATCCAGTAATCACCTATTTTCCAAAACAGAAATATTCTTAATCAAACATGATTAAGAATCTCCAAAGGAATTAACAGAGGGTTTGAAAATATAAACTCACTGATTAAGAACTATCTTAAGAGATGGTATCTCTTAAGTAACACTTGAAGCATTTACAAATGAAAACCAAAGACTACAGTCTACACAACATAAAGAAAACCAAAATCCTCACAACTAGACCAATAAGCAACATAACAATCAATGGATAAAATACTGAAATTGTCAAGGATTGCATTTAACTTAGATCCACAACTAATGACCATAGAGGCAAGAGTCAAGAAATCAAATGGCCACTGCATTGGGCAGATCTGTTACAAAATACCTCTTTAAGGTATTAAAAAAAAAAAAAAAAAAAAGTCACTTTGAAGACTAAGGTGCACCTGAGCCAAGTCATAGTGTTTTCAATTGCCTCATATGCATGTGAAAACTGGACAATGAATCCAGAACACTGAAGAAGAATTGATGTATTTGAATTGATGTTGGTGAGAAATATCGAATATACCATGTTCTGCCAGAAGAATGAACAAAGGTATCTTGGAAGAGGTACAGCTAGAATACTCCTTAGAAACAAGCATGGTGAGACCATGTTTCATGTGCTTTAGACATGTTATCAGTAGAGACCTGGAGAAGGACATCATGCTTGGTAAAGAAGATGGTCACTGAAAAAGAGGAACCCATCCAATGAAATAGATTTACACAGTGGTTTCAACAATGGTCTCAAACATAAGAGAGATTGTGTTGTTGTTCCTAGGTGCTGTCGAGTCATCTCTGACTCACAGTGACCCTGTACACAGCAGAATGAAACACCGTCAGGTCCTGCACCAGCTCCACGAGCCCTGCTATCCTTGAGCCCATCACCGCAGCCACTGTATCAATCCATCTCATTGAGGGCCTTCCCCTCTTTTCTCCACCTTACCAAGCATGACATCCTTCTCCAAGGAATGGTCCCTTCTGATAACATGAGCAAAGCAGGTGAAACGATCTCTGGCCATTCTCGCTTCCAAGGAGCACTCTGACTGCACTTCCTCCAGGACAGATATTAGTTCTTTTATCAGTCCATGGTACTTTCAGCATTCTTTACCAGCATCACAACTGAAAAGTATCAATTCTTCTTCAGTCTTCCTTGTTTATTGCCCAGCTCTCACATGCATATGAGACAATTGATAATATCATGGCTTGTGCCAGGTGCACCTTAGCCCTCGAGGAGACATCTTTGCTCCTCAGCACTTGAAAGAGGTCCTTTGCAGCCCACTTGTGAAGTGCTGTATGTTGTCTAAGGAGCTCTGGTAGCATAGTGCCTAAGGCATTTGACTGATAACCAGAAGGCTGGTGGTTCAAACCCACCAGCCACTCCTCAGAAGGAAGGTTGGGCAATCTACTTCCATAGTGATACTGCCTGGGAAACCCAAGGAGAGCTCACTATGAATTGGATCCAACTCGACAGCAGTGTGTGTGTGTTGTGTGTACGTCATCTGATGTCCTGACTGCTGCTTCCATTGGCATCTATTGCAGAACCAAGCAAGCAATGTGAAGTCTTGGACAACTTCAATCTTTTCTCCATTTATCATGATGCTGCTTACAGGTCTAGTTGGGAGGATTTCTGTTTTCTTTATATTGAGATATAATCCATCCTGCAGACTGTTTTCAATCTTCATGAGTAAGTTCTTCAAGTAATCCTCACTTTCAGCAAGCAAACTTGTGTCATCAGCGTATAGCAGGTTGTTAATAATTCTTCCCCCAATCCTGATGCCACATTCTTCTTCATATAGTCCAGCTTCTCCGATTATTTGCTCAGCATATAGATTGAATAAGTATGGTGAAAAGATGCACTCCTTTTTTTTTATTTTAAACCATGCCGTGTCCCCTGTTTGAATGACAGCCTCCTGGTCTATGTACAGGTTCCTCATGAGTACAATTAAATGCCCTGGAATTCCCATTCTTCTCAATGTTATCCACAATTTGTAATGATCCACACAATCAAATGGTTTTGTATAGTCGATAAAACACTAGTAAATATCTTTCTGGTATTCTTTGCTTTGAGCCAAGATCCATCTGACATCAGCAAAGATATCCCTCATCCCTTGTCCTCTTCTGAATCCAGTTTGCATTTCTGGAAGTTCTCTGTCAATATACCGCTGTGACCGTTTTTGAATTATCTTCTATAAGATTTTATTTGCATGTGGTATTAATGATAAATAATGATATTTTTAGATAATTTCTACATTCTGTGGGATCACCTTTCCTTGGAATGGGTACAAATATGGATTTCTTCTAGTCAGTTGGCCAGGTAACTGTCTTCCAAATCTCTTGGCATAACTGAGTAAGTGTCTCCAGTGGGTCATCCATTTGTTGAGACATCTCAATGGGTATTCTGTCAATTCCTGGAGTCTTGTTCTTTGCCAATTCCTTGAGCCTTGTTTTTCAGCAATTCCTTCAGTGCAGCTTTGACTTCTTCCTTCAATACCACTGTGTTCTTGAACATATGCCATCTCCTGAAACAGATGAGCATCAACCAGGTCTTTTTGGTCCAGTGACTCTGTGTAGTCTTTCCATCTTCTTTTGATGATTCCTGCATCATTGATATTTTGCCCATAGAATCTTTCAATATTGTAACTCAAGCCTTAAATTTTTTCTTCAGTTCTTTCAGCTTGAGAAATGCTGAGCATGTTCTTCCTTTTTGGTTTTCTAACTCCAGGTTTTTGCACATTTCATATAGTAATTGGCTTTGTCTTCTTGAGCTGTTCTTTGAAATCTTCTGTTCTTTTATCTTGTCATTTATTCCACTTGCTTTAGTTATTCTCTCCTCAAGGGCAAATTTCAGATTCTCTCCTGACATCTGTTTTGGTATTTTCTTCTTTTCTTGTCTTTTTAATGACCTCTTGCTTTCTTCATGGATGATGTTCTTGATGTTATCCCACAATTCTTCTAGTTTTCAGTCATTGGTGTTCAATGCATCAAATCTGTTCTTTAAATGGTCTCTAAATTCAGGAGAGATATATTCAAGGTCATATTTTGGCTCTTGTGGACTTTTAATTGTCTTCAACATCAAGTTAAACTTGCATGTGAGCAGTTGATGGTCTATCCCACAATCAGCTCCTGGTCTTGTTTTGGCTGCAGATATTGAGCTTTTCCATAGCTTCTTGCCACAGATGTAGTCAATCTGATTCCTGTGTACTCCATCTGGTGAAGTCCACATGTATAGCCACCATTTGTGTTATTGAAAAAAGGTATTTGTCATGAATAAATCGTTGGTCTTGCAAAATTCTATCATGCAATCTCCAGCATTATTTCTGTCACCAAGACCAAATTTTCCAACTACCAGTTATTCTTATTTGTTTCCAACTTTTGCATTCCAGTCACCAATGATAAGTAATACATCTTGATTACATGTTTGGACAATTTCAGATTGCAGAAGTTGATATAAATCTTCAGTTTCCTTATCTTTGACTTTGGTGGTTGGTGCATAAATTTGAAAATTAGTAGTAGTAATAATGGTGATAACTGGCCTTCCTTGTAGACATATGGATATTATACTGTTACTCACAGCATTGTATTTAGGACAGATCTTGAAACATCATTTGTGATGATGAATGCCACACCAATCCTCTTCAAATTGTCATTCCCAGCATAGTAGATCATATGGCTGTCTTATTCAAAATGCCCAAAACTGGTTCATTTCAGCTCAATAATGCTTAAGATATTAATCTTTATGCATTCCATTTCATTTTTGACAACTTCCAACTTTTCTAGATTCATGCTTCGTACATTCTGTGTTCTGATTACTAATGGATATTTGCAGTTGTTTCTCCTCAATTTCAGTTCTGCCATGCCAGCAAATGGAGGTCCTGAGAACTTTACTTTATTCATATCATTAAGTTGATTCTACTCTGATGAGGCAGCTCTTTCCCAGTCATATTTTGAGTGCCTTCCGACCTAAGGGGTTCATCTTCCTGCACTGTATCAGACAGTGTTTCCTGGCTATTTATAAAGTTGCCCAGCAATGTATCAGAAAATGTTTCTCTGCTATTCATAATGCTTTCCCTGGCCAATTCTTTGAGAAGTGAATGGCCTCTTCCTTCTTCTTAGTCTGTCTTAATCTGTAAACTGCATTGAAACCTGTGTACCATATGCAACCCTGCTGGTGTTTGAAACACCAGTGGCACAGTGTCAAACCTCACAGCAACATGCAAGCCACCACAGTATGACAAAGTGACAGACAAGTTCATCTTCTTTAGTTTTTCAAAACCTGTCCACCCTCCCCTTACTGGATCCTACAGGCTTTTGTTGTCCCCAGCATTCCTCTCCCTTTCTTGCCTCTGGGGTGGGACCTCTCTTCCTCTCCTTACCTGGATCCTGCGGGCTTTTGTCGTCCCCATCCTTGGTGTTCCCCTCCCTTTCCTGCCTCTGGGGTGGGGCATGTCTCCATCCAGAGATTGTGAGGATGGTGTAAAACTGGGCAGTGTTTTGTTCTTTTGTACATAGGGTCACTATGAGTTAAAACTGACTCTATGACACTCTACAACAAGAACATCCCTTAAGAAAAACATAAATGGTATGTATATAAGTCCAAATGGTTAATGCGCTCAGCTGCTAACTGAACATAGGGTCACTATGAGTTAAAACTGACTCTATGACACTCTACAACAAGAACATCCCTTAAGAAAAACATAAATGGTATGTATATAAGTCCAAATGGTTAATGCGCTCAGCTGCTAACTGAAAGGTTGATGGGTTCAATTTTATCAAGAGGCACCTTAAAAGAAAGACCTGACTATTTACTTATGAAAAATCAACCATTGAAAATCTTATGGAGCACAGTTCTATCCTGACACACAAGGGGTCACTATAAGTTGGGAATCAATTCAATGGCAACTGGTTTATGTGCACTGGTCTAAGCCCTCTGCAAAACCACATATTTAACACTCAAACAACCGTGTAAAGGAATTGTCAGTATTCCAAACTTATAGATGAGAAAACTCCATCAAAAAGAGATAATCCACAGTAAGTTAGTGACTTTACTAAAATAGATAAAATCCCATTAAATTCAAATACCCAACATTTTAAAGCCATTTTAAGTAGAAAGTAATAAAATAATTCATTATCAAAGCAATGAATAAAGTAAATGAATGAAATGAATATCTCACTTGTCCTTTCAAAATTTGATCTTTTCATATTGAGGCAAGACATAGCTAAACAGTACCTGCTGCTGAACATCTAGTTAAACTCAGACATATATACATAGATGTTGATGTATTTTATAAAATTTATAATATGAAAAGTTGCATTTAGCTGAAATGAAGAGAGAATGCTGGATGTATAGGGTTGGGAATAAAAGTTGCCTATTCTTCAAAGATAACAATGGTAGTTATCCATGTAAATGCTGTTTCAAAGTTAAACAGGACTCTTAATCATTTCACAGCTCATTTCTATGGCTTAGTCCTATTCCTCTTCCCAGGATTTATCCAATCAATCTAAATGATAGAATAATACAAAATGTAGTCATGGGTCATGTAAGCAGGGCAACAAAGGTGATTAAATTCCAAAATTCTTTAGAATCTCAACTGTAATACAATCCTGCCAGCAGAGATCCCTAACATGTGATTCATAAAATATGAAGCTGCATTAATAACTCCATATTCAAATAAATTTAGGAAATGATATGTACTTTATTCTACTGGTGAGCCACAACATGTTAGAATATTAAAGCCTCTAGAAAGTAAGGTTAAAAAAAGCATGATTAACCCTTTTAATCGAGTACTTTCCAAATGTATATCACCATGAAATGTTTTTACTCTATACAAGTTATCGATAATTTAAGACTTATAGACTGAAATGAAATTATATGATGAAGACGGAATGTCCCCTTGAAGTACTTATCATTTACCCTCTAATTTTTCATATACTCCACTGTCTCCACCATGAGCTCTGTGACATGTTGACCATTTTATCTTTGTATCTAGTTCAAATGGGCTACTGTGCACTCACCACTCTGCTTTGTGGGATGGCAAAGCTTTAAGTCATCACAGGTCCGGGCCGGGTGTTTTTTTGAGCCATCAGGGCTGCGCATGGTTTCAATCTGACTACTGAGGGACTTCAGGGTGGCATGGACCCCTGGATCTGTTTTGTTTTTCTCATCAGGTGCCGCTTGATCTTCAGTGAACTCTGGAAGTGGATCTGGCATGTTCTCATCATAATGCCCCATAATATCACCAAGGGCAGCCGTCAGGTGGCCGGGGGGACCTGGAGGGCCAGGAGGACCAGGCTCACCAGGAGGACCCTAGGTAATTAAAAAAAAATTTGGAAATATATTTACATCACTTTTTTTTTTTTTTTTGTATTGGACATGCAGGCATTGGTGGGACTTGGAACACAGAGAGTTGCCACTCAATTTGATAATACTGAGAGAGATGTGATTCATGTCCTTTGTAAATAGATGGGGTGGCCTGCCAAGCTGTGACATTCTAAAGATGTGGGATGGTACGTAACTGTATTTCAGACAATATATTTTTGTTAGCATCTGAGATAAATAAATGTCAAAGGATGGAATATATGCTCTGATTTTTACCTTGAAGATATGAATATTCAGATATATACATTCATTTCAAAGCCAATGAATAACCAATAGATAAAAACAATATAAGAAGATGCTAAAGCAAAGCAAAAAAAAAAAAAAAAAAAAAAAAAAAAAAAAAAAAAAAAAAAAAAAAAAAAAAAAAACAGTTAAGACATTAAATTTGGGCTAGAAACTAGAAAATATGTAAACCTAATTTTTAAGAATTATTTTGGGCAAGGTTAAACAAATGTTTTAAAAGTATTTATGGATAGAAGGTGGATGAATAGATGAGGCAATCATGGCTGCTGGTTCATTACCAAGAAAATAGCCACAGTAAATACCCACAAGAGAATTTTCCTCTATTCTCAAATACAGGGGAAAAAAATGGGAAGATTTTATGTTTTATATATGTGATATATTTTATGTGATATATATTACTATATATACTGAAATTCTCTTCCCTAAAAATATTCTTTTTTTAATGCCAAAAATATAAATACTTCTACTTTGTTGCCAAGCAAGACCTACTTGAGTGACAAGGGAATCAGCAGGAAAAAGTAGAGATGAGATGAAAAGTGGATTCTATTAATTCTCTTTGCAATTTCTCAAAAATAAAACTCAGCAACTTAAAAATAAATAAATAAATAAGAGGAAAACTAAGAAAGGCATGGAGCCCACATTTCATGTGGATGGCACACACCTGGGAGTCAGAATTGGAATTTTAGTCCTGGCTCTGTACTTGCCTTATGGCTTTGGGCAAGTTGCTTCAACTTCAATGGCAACATTTCTTCATTATCAAAAATGCTGCTAAATATGGTTTTCATGGTCATATCATGATTCCTTTATGCTAATCTCAGGAGGAAGGATTATTTATATATTTATTTACTTAATCAAGGACCACTGAACCACAAAATAAAAGTCAGGAGCCACAAAAGTGAAAGGTATTCCAATTCTGTAGCTGTTTTCTGTTCTCATTTAGAGAAATATATATGTGCATATATATGTATATAATCCTATTCACTATAGGAAATATAAAGCTATTTCATCTCCTCAGTTTATAATAAATATTTCATTTAATAGTACAGCCATTAAAAGGCAGAGAAAGAAAGAAGAAAGAAAGGTAAATAAGGTCAAACAGGAAGAAAGACGGGGGGGGGGGACATAAAATCCTAAACACACACGCACGAGGGCACACACAGGCATGAAAGATGTATAATGATGTTTCCACAAGTTTGAGAAGCAAATGTCTACCTAACCTAGCTTTACAGCTTTATTTGATAGTCAAATCAATAGAATTGGAATTTGTTATGAATGTCTTTTCCACATGTCATTTTCAATAGACAAGAACTTTAATTTCATCCTTTTATTTCCTAGCATAAAACATTATACATTTTTTGACATAACTATACCTAATATATAGATTATATTATCCAGGGAATAGACCATTCCCTGGAGAAGGATGTCATGCTTGGTAGGGTGGAGGGTCGGCGAAAGAGGGGGAGGCCTTCAATGAGATGGATTGATACAGTGGCTGTGATGATGGGCTCAAGTATAGCAGGGATTGTGAGGCTGATGCGGGATCGGGTAGTGTTTCGTTCTGCTGTGCATGGGGTCGCTATGAGTCGGAAATGACTCGACGGCACTTAACAACAATATACCTAATATTTATTTATTATATTGTAATTTAAAGAAAAGTAACAGTTACATAATTTAATTATAAATATAATCATTACTTACTATTTTCTCTTATTGGCATCATAGTATGTCAAGGCCTGTATAGGTTGGACTCTGATATTATATATTCTGAATTAGCTGTATTAAAATTGCAGTGCAATAAATCATTCTATATGGCCTTTCCAGCCATAGTCTAATAATTTCCACAAATGATTGGCTGGGTCACAATCTGGCAAAGGATTGGTTGCCTTACTGTGCAAATAGTGACTGGAAAGTGACTCAGTTGGACTGAACTCCTTGTGATTCAGCTAGGGGACTGATGGGTTTTCCCATCTTCCTGTGCTTCTACAAGGGGCAATCTCACAGAAGGTAGGGGATCTCACAGGAACATGTCCTTTGGATTCTCGGGTCCATGCATGGAGAACTGCCTAGACTCAAAACTTAATGCTGTCACAATGAAGATGGAGAGACAGTGGACTGCTTGGCCCTTGGAGAGAGAGACGGCAATGGTAGGCTTGCCAGTTCATGAAGAGAGGGAGCTGGGCAACTCTGTACAGGAGGTTTTCCTACTGTCAAAGTGCTATATCATTTCACCGTACTTATTCAATCTGTATGCTGAGAAAATAATCTGAGAAGCTGGCTATATGAAGAAGAGTATGGCATCAGGATTGGAGGAAGACTCATTAACAACCTGTGATATGCAGGTGACAGAACTTTGCTTGCTGAAAGTAAAGATGACTTGAAGCACTTATTGATGAAGATTAAAGACTACACTTTACAGTATGGATTACATCTCAACATAAAGAAATGAAAATCCTCACAACTGGACCAATAAGCAGCATCCTGATAAATGGAAAAAAGTTTGAAGTTGTCAAAGATTTCATACTACTTGGATCCACAATCACCACCAATGGAAATAGCAGTCAAGACATCAGATGATGTATTGCATTGGGCAAATCTACCCCCAAACACCTCTTTAAAGTGCTGAAGAGCAAAGATGTCTCTTTGAAGACTAAGATATATCTAACCCAAGCCATGGTACTTTCAGTGGTTTCATATGCACACGGACAATGAATAACGAAGGCCGAAGAACAGTTGTTGCTTTTGAGTTGTGGTGTTGTCAGAGAATACTGAAGATACCATTGACTGTCAGAAGAATGAACAAATCTGTCTTGGAAGAAGTGCAGCTGGAATGCTCCTTGGAAGGGAGAATGGTCAGACTTTGTCTCACCTGCTTTGGTCATGTTGTCAGAAGGGATCATTCCCTGGAGAAGGATATCATGTTTGGTAAAATGGAGGGTCAACAAAAAAGGGAAAGGCCCATCTCAGTAATGAGATGAAGACAATATCTGACCTGAATCAACCACAGTGTGCCAGCCCAGAGAGATAAAAATGGACATGGGTAATTTGGGAAAGGGTAAACTGTTCCGCTAGGAGAATCTGTTAGGATTGCTTATTGTTTCCTTTCTATAAATAACAATAATGGCTTTCATTTTGCCAACACCGTATAAGTGCCTTAGATGTTTGGCTCAATTATAGATGAAGTTTGAGGCACAGCTTATCTGCATGTGCAACACAAATGGACAGACAGGCATACTTACAGAAATATTTTAAGTAGTTATTTAAACAGATAAGCTCTTTGTGATTTTAGTTTTCTTTTCAAGGACCATTAAATGTCTTTTCCACCAGAACACACATGTCTCCCTCGGAGGGCAGTATTCGTTTGATGCAATCTGAACTACTGGAATCAAGAGCATTATTTTCATGCAAAGCCCTGTGACTTTACCTCAGGCCCTGCTTCTCCTACACTGCCCCGCACACCTGGAGGTCCAATTGGCCCGAGTGGCCCAGGATTTCCTTCTTTCCCTAAAGGACCAACTGGGCCTGGGGGACCCTGCAAGAAACAAAGACTCTTCAGATTCTATGAAAACAAAACACAGCAAAAACTTTAACAATGCCTTTGGCTAATCAAATAACTATTTTCTTTATGGACTTATTACAATGATTTCTCAGGCTCATTTACCTAATGACTAATAAATAAAATCCCAGACTTTTATAATATTTATGAATTCATCACACATGATTCCTCCATCATTTGTGCATTGTAAAAGACCAGTACTGGCAAAGAACCTTAAAGAATAATTGTTACCTCCTAATTGTTTAATCAAATCTTAAATATTTATAAATTTAATCGGAACTTCAACTCAGGGTGAGAAAATGACAAAAGTTGAAGCTTTTTTCATAAATTAAATTTGTATATTTATAACCCAGAATCCCATCACATTTTAATAATTTTCATACTACATTTCTCAATTTTGTGATTTTTTTGCACTGTATTTAGAATTTCATTTTATGTCTTGCTTTTGAATTAACCTTATGCAAATTACCTCTGATAAATTATCACAATTACCTAAAGGAAAAATATATCCAGTTTCAAAATCTGTCTCTACTTCACTGCAAGTCTTATTAGATCACTTCAAAGAATGCAAGTTTAGTGGAAATTTTAATTAACACAGAGGAAGAAATTGAACTAACAAATGAGTGTATCCAAACTCTAGGTAAGAGATTCTAATGTAGGACCATGAGATAATATGTCATAATCCAGAATACTTCTACTCAAAAGTAAGTGCTGAATGGGTACTTCAGCACATATATCTGCTGCGAGATTCAAGGAGCATAGGCCAACTACAGCTTCAATGACGTGGAATTAATACTCAAGTATTATGTCACCAGAAGCATTATTATTGTTTACATCTGTAGCTTAATTTTTATTACTTACTCTTGGACCAAAAGGTCCAGGGATTCCCACACTGCCTTGTTCACCATTTGGACCCTATAAGGAAGAAAAAAAAAAAGTTGCCTAAATATTTAGATTCTGCAATATGCTATTCTTAGCTTCTTAAAGTGTACTGTTACTGATTTTAGCAATATCAATTTCATCAACTATTTGATAAAGTCATCTATCTCTGCAATATCTACATGAGTTTGTTAGGTTTTAGTCTTAGTTTACAAGTGCTAAAGATGAGTTAAAAAGTAATGGTGCATCTATCTTTTTTGTTTTTTCCTTGAAACAAATGTACGGGTAATTATATTGGAAAACTAGGTAATTACTCATCCAGATATTCTGTAAAATGAAAATAATATTTTGAAAATAAGATACAAAACCCATCTATTTTATAGACAGATACATGTTCATGTCAAGATACTGTGCATTTCCATATGGAAGAAAAATAACAGTTAAAGGAATAACTTACAGGTGGTCCAGGAAGACCTTGAAGGCCAGTGAAACCTCTGTGACCCTTCTGGCCTCGGTCACCTCGATCTCCATGATCACCTTTGTCACCACGAGGTCCTTGGGGTCCCTGAAAATAGAGTCATTGTGACATGGATATTACTTGTTTCATATTTGCTATAATTTTTAACATTGTATTTTATATGAGTTAACACACTTATCTAAATAGAATTAGACCTAGGAATCACTAAAATCATAGATATACAGTAAAATTTGTGAAAGCCTGAGTCTTTGTAAGTTGAAAATCTGTCAAAGAAGGCAAACGCAAATATTTTCCACAAAAATGAGCAATAACAGTAGTCGACAACCTGTCAAAGGCAGAAAACTTTTAAGACCTGGAAAAACAAGGCAGTCACATCAAGTTATAGCCTTGTATTGTATAATATTGTATAATAATTCTTTCCTAAAGATTCAAGTTCTCCTAACATTTAACCTATAATCATATCTAAAATTACATTATTTTTAAGTTTGATCTAGCCTGTCTGAAACATTTTACTAATTCCAATATTTCATGTGGTTAGCAGATACATAAAAATACTACTATCACATACATACAAATCATTTTAAATTAAAACATAAGTATGAATGTAATTATTATGTTACCTCTAGGAAGAAAAATGCTTATTGTATTTGTATATTCAAATAAACTAAGTGGATATGTCAGTTGTGACTATATTAAGAAATTGACAAAATCTTGTTTAAATAAAATACACAGGAATATCATTAAGATACATTCCTTTTAAAAAAAAAACCTGTATGTTCCTTTTATCTACAAATGTCCAAATACAATAATCCTGCTGCTAAGAAATGAAAAAAAAAAAATAGAAATAAAAATTTTGTTATAGGACAGATACTGTAGCTAGAGGGGGGAAAGATCTGTTCGGTCTCAGTCTCTCTCTCTTTTTTTTAAGGCTTTGGGAATAAAAACAACTCAAGAGTCAAATTCTTCACAGTAAACTGACAAATGACATACGTTCACCTACTATGAAATCAGCTTTTATTATCTTTAGTGTTTTCCTAAAAGAATACTGAAGCCTTAACAATCTGACTTTGGAGGATGTAGGAATAATCAGCTGGACTGACTCTCTGTTAATATTTCTCTTATTGCTTTTTGTTTGTATTTTCTTTATTCTTTTTTTTTTTATGTTAGTTGTCCTAATAGTCAAAATGTATACAGGCGTTTCTATGAAAGGTCTTTTCTTTGTAAACATAAGAATAGTTTCCATTAACTTTTACACTTTTTATGTAACAGTGTAAATCTAAATCAAATTCAGCTTGAATGTTTTTCATAAAGTTAGAGCAGCTCTTTTACTTTTGCGATATGCCAAAGTTTCACAACTGAAAATAAATTAAACCAGAAAGCATCTAGTTCAATTATTAATTACAATTCATTTATGTGTGAAAAATAGAACTACCTTGTTTTGTAACTGATTGGAAAACGATTCACTTTGACATGCTGTTCAATGATGAAATGCTTGACCGTTCAGCTCAAATCAAAGCTGAGAAATATGGTTTAATGATATGACCATGATTTTAAGACTATGATTGTTCTTCCTGGATACAGACATTGATTTAAACAGTAGGTATGAAAGCAACATGACTTATTAGAATGCTCACAATGAGATGGTTCATTCGTAGTAAGACATCTATATAATAACAACTCAAAAGCAATACCAAAGAGGAAAAACATCAGAACAGGAGCAATGTAATTGAAAATAAAGCATAGTATTTGAATAGCACTTTTAGTTTACAAAGATCTTTCAAATCCATTGTTTTGGAAGAGAAAACTATGACTCTGAAAGACTTCATTGATTACTGAAGGAACCCATATCTCAGTTTAGTGGAGCAGTGTTGAAAGTACAGAAATAAAAACGAACTTTTGAGTACTATTTTAAATTAATATTTTTTGTGTTCACAACCTGAGTAATTCCATATTCTTATTTTTAAATTGCACTTCTTTGGAAGAACATTTTATGTAAGAAAACATGTTAAAATAAAATCGAGAACTTACAGGTAAGCCACGCTTTCCAGCTCGACCAGGTGGTCCTATAGGTCCTCGAGAACCCTAGAAATTTTCACAAAAATTGATATGTGAAAAAAATTTAAAATACGTGTACTCTATAGATGTAACCAAACAAAAATAACCCAATGCCTCTGAGTTGATTCCAACTCGTAGCGATTCCAACTCATAGCAACTCAAGGCTGTAAATCTTTACAGAAGTAGATTGCCCCATGTTCCTTCCATGGACTGGCTGGTAGGTTTGAACCACTAACCTACTGGTAGCAGTCAAATGCCTTAGGTACTGTGCCAACAGAGCTCCTTACTATATAGATACAGAATGTCAAAAATATGTGTTTGTATTTACATATGTATATATCAATCTATGTATGTACTCTTACAGCTAATGATTGAAACTGGGCTAATGCCCATATGCCGGTAAGAACAAACTCATTATAACTTCAATGACACTTCTATAGTCAATTTTATTCATTGGCCTCACTGAATAAAGATCACTTTAGTTGATTACATTAAGACATTACTTGCTCGAGTTTAACAGTGCCTGATACATACTTACTGCATTTCCTAAGAATCACAGATTTTTAGATGATAAAAATCCTAGCATAAAGTCTTTGAATTTCTGTTAGAAATCCAAAGCTTTGCTTTAAGATTAAAACAGTGTAATTTATTCATAATTTTCCACTTATCATTCTTTATTTAGAGTCTTTAACCAAGTGCACATGTATGACATAATAGAGCATATCAACGTGGATAATGGTTAGCGTAAAATTGTCTCTTTCCTTACCGGATCTCCTCTCTGCCCTGCGTCTCCAGGAGCACCAACAGGGCCAGGGGTTCCAGGAGCACCCTGAGATCCAGGCAGACCTGCAGGCCCAGGGTCTCCACGATCACCCTGACAAGATCAACCATGATATAATCCTATTAATATTTATTCTAAAATAATGTTATCCTATATGATAATGTTATTCAGCCTGGGGGAGAAAAATAGCACGTTTTTCCTCTTATTAATACATCAAAGTGAAAAGAATGAGATTATTTCAGATCTCTCTCATCCCTCCCACTATCTCTGCCCACTGGGCGTGTCCAAGATTGCTAGAGTATAGGAGGGGTCACCTCCAGAGCTTAGCCTGTTTCCTAGACCTGCAGTCTTCAGACTGATGTACCTACATACATAGGGTGCACAAAGACTTAAAGACTTCATAGGGAGTTTGAAAGCAGGAATAATTTTAAGGATCAACTTCCAGACCTTCAACTCCAGATATATTCTTTCAGAAAACTGATATCTGAGCATTCTTTCTTCTTCTCCTTTACTAATCACCCTTTTCCCACTTTATAAAATAAAGGAAGCCCTTACACCATCTGCAATTTTAGTATGGCTCAACGTTCCAAGAGTAACGTTGAGTAAGTTATTTTAGGGCAGCAAACTAAGGGATTTTCCAGAACGCATAGTTCACTTGAGAATAGAGCAAACAAGGCTTCTGGAAGAAAGAAACTGTCTGACAGACTCCAAATCATGACTATCTCCCTAAGAAGTCAGATATGAGATGACTGTTATATGAAAATATATGATTACAATCATTTGACTTGAAAAAATACACTGAGACATTTTTTTTTTCTAACACAAATTAAGTATTACTTGACTGCCTAGTTTGCCAGGCATGATAAATTTTGCTAATTAAGCTATCTAACAGCTACTTATAAGAAATTGAATCATCTAAACTAGAAATTCAAAGATTTTGAAAAATTTGTTTAAAGCATTTATATACATAAAATTTATCAGGAATCATGTCTTTTGCAGCCATTGAAACTATGATTTTTTAAAAAATGAGATGTTAACTTAAAAATGTTCATAGAGGTTTATAGAGTTTCAAAATTATTTCAAGAAGAACCAGAAAAAACTTTGAGGACTATAGCACAAAATAATAGATACTAAGGGGAAAGTCCACATGCTAAGAAAATGAGCAGTCCCTAAAATCATTGTAGATGGGGTGAGGGCTTAGTCCAAGACCCAAATCTTTTCTTCCCTCATAGAAACTAAAAGCAACAATTTCTCAGTCATCCTTATAAAAACCAAACCTGTTGCCATAGAGTTGATCATCACTCAGAGTAAAACTGCCCATAGGGTTTCCAAAGCTATGTTTATGGAAGCAGACTACCACATTTTTTTCCCACAGAGCAGCTGGTAGGTTCTAACCAGTGACCTTTTGGTGACTGGTGTTGTTAGGTGCCGTTGAGTCGGTTCCAACTCATAGCAACCCTATGTAGCACAGAGCAAACACTGTGGGTCATGTGCCATCCTCACAATCCTTGCTATACCTGAGCCCATCATTGTAGCCACTGTGCCAATCCATCTCACTGAGGGGCTTTTCCTTCTTCACTGTTGTTGACTGAGGATCCGGGTAAATTGAAATCCCTGGCAACTTCAATCTTTTCTACATTTATTCTGGTGTTGCTTATGGGCCCAATTGGGAGGATTTTTGTTTTCTTTATGTTAAGGTGTAATCTACACTGAAGACTGTAGTCCTCAGGTTGTTAATGAATCTTCCTCCAATCCTGATGGTGTGTACAACCGTTTGTTTAGCATCTGAGTGCTTAACCACTGCTCCACCAAGGCTCCTCTGCTCAGCCATCCTTATCACCTCCAAAAACCCTTTCAGCATGAGAGTATTCTTCAATGTCTACCCTGTGCTAGGTACTTTAAACATGCTATTTAAAACACAAAGGTCCAATACTATAGCTACTAATTACATTTAAAGTACTTGAGCCCTGAGGTTCAGACAATTTGATTTCAATCCACATCTGTGTCCCAAAGTCTGTTCTACATAATGTAGCCCTTAAAGTGGGAAGACCCAGTACATCATTATAAACTTTGGGAACTTAAATATAATCTGAAGCAACTACAGAACTACCTAAAAGAACTGGAGATTTTCAATTAGGGAGATTTTTAGTTCACTACATGTCTAATTTAAAAACACATCATAGAATATACAATGCTTAGAAAGCCATATGGCTGACTTCCTCATGGGATATTCACTTTAGGGGCTGAGTAGAGAAATTGAAGAGTTATCACATTGTTTCTGTTTTCATGCTTTTGTGAATGGGTTTGAAATTTAAAGCATTCCATATACATCCTCATCCAAAGCCTTCATGTTGAACCAAATACAAAAGCAATTTGCTTTCCTACACTTAATAAAATATGTCATCTGGCTTTCTGTAGTCAACTCTCATTTCATTATAAGACCTACCAAAAGTAAGACCTTACAAAAAGGGTTGTTACTATTAGAAAAACCAGAGCTGCATTGAAAGGTATAAGGATGTCTTCATATTCACATTACATCAGAATTTTTAATCACTGAAACTGCCCTTACACGTTCTCCAGCAGCACCGTCCCGTCCTGGAGTTCCATCATTACCAGCAGGACCCTATAAAGAATCATATTTGAAAAAAAAATTAACTGAATAATGACTAAAAATTTCATTCTGATTGCTAGAAAAATAGAGCACATTTTCCTTATCTTTTCTGTTAACTATACATTAGAATGAATGGAAATATCAGTTAAAAAAAAAGAAAAGGTACCAGCCATCTTTTTGATGACCTTGAATTGCTTGCAAAATTATTTATATATTCTTATGTAGTCTAAATTCTTCATTTTTAATTTTTATTTTAAAAAGGAAAAATCCCTAAACCCTTTGAAATAATTAAATTGTAATTAAATTCTTGGTATTTTATGTTTTGTTTATATTAGCAGTGAATGGTTTTTTTCACTATTACTTCTTGAGCTATTCCAAATAATATCCTTAAATTTTTGAATTAAGATAAGCTCAGATGATATAAAGGCTACATATTGCATGATTTCAACTATAGGACACCATGGAAAAGACAAAACTATAAAGAAAGTAAAAAGATCAATGGTTTCCAGGGATTCTGGGAGCAGGGAAGGATGAATAGATGAACACAGGACATTTTAAAAGTAGTGAAACTATTCTACATGACACTGTAATGGTGGATACATGATATTATGCATTATCAAAACCTACAGAACTGTATAATGCAGAGTGAATGACCCTAATGTAAACAATAGTGTAGTTAATAATAATGTGTCAATATTGGTTTATCACCTGTAACCAAAGTACCACAACAATGTTAATAAGAGAGGAGATTGTGGGTGGAGATAGGGGGTGGGGAGAAGAGGAGAGCAGATATCTGAAAACTGTCTATACTTTTGCTCAGTTTTTCCGGTTTCATGCTTTTGTGACTTTTGTGACTTAACAAGTAAAACCATAGATATTTATGGAGAAAGATGGAGACTTTGCTCCCTATTCTCTCCCTAATTTTTTTTCAGAAATATTATTTTATCATTTGAATAAAAATTTCTCTGAAATGAACTGTTTCTTTTAAGAAACAGTTTCTTTTAAGAAAGAGTGACCTTAATATAACATTAACTATTTTGAGATTCACTCATTAAAGCACTAAAGAGAGAAGATTCCAATCTGTAACTTCTTGAATTGACTTTCAAAAACTGATTTTCGCTCAAAAGAGCCTAAGGGAACATGACATTTACAATGTTACTCTAGAGTGACATTTAAGTAAAACGATCTCTATTTCATTTGCCCTTTTCACAAACTGTAGTAGTTATATTAATCCTATCACCATAAAACTTGGCAATTTTGACAAATGTGCCATTACAGGATAAATTAATAACAAGGAAAAAGATGAATGGATGTGTCTTTTAACCTTCAAAACAATTTGGTAATAACCTAAATCAACTAAAATGTTTAGCTCCACACTAGAGGAAGGTCAGTACAAAGACACCAATCTTGATTCCTTTTCTTTGTGGCATGATTTAGCCAAATCTGCAGGGAAGGAGGAGGGCACATCAAATAGCATCAATAAAAGACTTCCTTAAGGTCAAATGCACAATCAGTTTGAAAATGACAATCCTGCCCCATGGAACCCAGAGAGCAAAGATTGATTTTCTTGACAGTACTCACTTCAGGTCCAGGTTCCCCTACAGGACCGTTTGAGCCTGGGGGTCCCACAGGTCCTGGTGGACCTTTATCTCCTGGCCCACCAGTTGGTCCTACTTTTCCTGGTGTGCCCTGAAATAAAAGCATAAATATATCAATTGTTGTTGTTGTTTGCCATCGAGTCAGACCCGACTCATAGCGACCCCTCCTTGGGTTTCCGAGGCAGTATCACTACGGAAGTAGATTGCCCCATCTTCCTTCAAAGGAGTGGCTGGTGGACTTGAACCGCCAGCCTTCTGGTTAGCAGTCAAGTGCCGTAGCCACTATGCTACCAGAGCTCCCAAAATTAGCTGAAGAAATTTAAGAATATCAGTTCACATTAAGTTAACTTCAAGTGGAACCATAGTCTCACTTGCCATAACAATTGCCCATTATTGTACAACACTCATGATGCTGTAATGCATCCTTAGAGGCATGCTCAGTTCTTAATATACTCATTCTGACATACCAAAGGGACCAGAAAGCATTGTTTACCCTCGCCTGGCTTACAGCTAACTTTATCCAAATAATTTGGTCTTTGTTCCTGGTTCCAGGACAAACGTTGGAATTTCCCCAGTGATTTTCAACCACTGTCTTTGATGAGGGCTACAAGCATAGCAAAGATCATGAAGATGGTGCAAGAATGGGCAACATTTCATTCTGTTATATACAAGATCACCATAAGCCAGAGTTGACTCAAGAGCAACTGACAACTAGATCAATCTAATAGGCTATGTTAATGATGTAGCTCAGATGGGGGCTGACCAGGCCAGAAACAGCTGACTTGAAATATCAATTCACCTTACCCACTAAAAAAATAGAGGCGCTGGCCATAGAATCTCCAAAGGCTTTCTGGCTGGTGAAAGATACTGATGCATATCCAAGGATAGCATGTCCCTTTTGGGAACCCTCGCAGCCTATGCATTTCTTCATTTGTATACATTTTGCTATAATAAAACTATCATCATAACTAGAGTACTTTCTGTGAGCTTGGAGAGTCATTCTAGCCAATTATCAAATCAGAGGGAGTATTACTATTAGTACTGCTAACCAGCCTTCTCTACCAGACCTCCTTACATACAAACATATATAAATTTTTAATCTACACAGAGTCTTTATGGTTATGCAAAGGTGACAGTAGTCAATCAGTTAGAAAAGACCTTAAAAGAGAATGTAAATATTGACTGAATAAGGTCAGATGTGAGGGGGAACCCTGGAGAACCGTGAGCTTACAGCTGGTATCCTTAGTGTGTAGTGAGAACCCCCTGAATTTGAAGCCAGCAGGACAGAGGTGAGAGTGTTGTGGGGACCTCCCAGCTGGGATCTGAGGTTTTAGACTGACTTGACAATCTGGTGGACTGTACTCTTTTAATTTATGAGATTTGGTGCATTGTTCATGGTTAGGATCAAAGGAAGAAATACTGCATATGCCATTGGAAACAGAATTAAATAGAACTGAAGTGGAGTGGCAATGAGATTGGATAGATTGAATTCCCTCATTCAGTTGGTGTGAGAATTTGAATGGATTGCATTGAGCCTTATAGCCCCAAAGTCAGGTGTATCATGATCAATTCTGACTGGCTTTCAGGAGCCTCTATCACTACTAAAACATGTTCATCATTTTTCACTCCCTTTGTCTGCTCACTTTACTTCTGTATCTGGTACTTTAGTCTTCCTTTGGGGAGGTTGTATACTTCCATGTTGTCTCACTTCTGATAACAATAAGATGTCCTTTATCTGATGACTTGCTAATTTCAGATCTCTACCCACATAACCCCAGCGCTACGGCCCCATGAGTAACATCTCTGTCCACATTCCACATAAAAACATCATTATTTTTCTCAAGCATGTAATCTTTCAGTGGGAAATTTTAGTCTCTCCAAAGCTAACACTGAATCAAACTTTTATCATTCTCCAGGGAATATTAAATTCTTAAGCATTTGTTCAGGGAACAAGAGATTACTTTTAAGGCCCTTCACAGTTCACCCAGCATTCACTTCTAATCTTACTCACTTAAGCTCAACTGCTTCTTCCCTTTGATAATGTATGAAAACTTACTCCCTGAACTGTGAAATATGGATACTTTTGTTAAACATATTTATTTTGAAAAAAGGCTCCCTACTCACTGGGAAATCATTCCCTTTCTCAGCTCCATGGATATTTCAAATGCTTGAAATATTTAAGAGACACCAAAAATTCATATCCTCAACTACCTACTTCTCTAGTCACAGGGTTAAACAATTTTTTCAAAGATACTTACAAATTTGATCTTTAAGATTAAATAATTTTATAATTTTGAACATACTCCAAATTTATATCATGTTGTTGTTGTGTGCCATCGAGTCAAACCCGACTCATAGCGAACCCTCCTTGGGTTTCCGAGGCAGTATCACTACGGAAGTAGGATTGCCCAACCTTCCTTCCGAGGAGTGGCTGGTGGGTTTGAACCTCCAGCCCTGGTTAGCAGGCAAGTGTCTTAGCCACTATGCTACCAGAGCTCATATGTATGCTATTTAAATATATTTATGAAGCAAAAAGATTATGATCTATTCTCTCTACACAAATTATATTGTACATAATCAGAAGACATATAGACTGATGCAATGACTCACCGCTGGGCCTGGAAGGCCAGGCATGCCTCGCTCTCCACGTTGCCCAGGCATGCCAACAATTCCTCTTTGCCCCGTAGTTCCAGCTGGACCAGGGGGACCGTCTGGACCCTAATGTTGAGTATAAACTATTTTAGATATTCTCCGGGGCAAAACCATAACCAAGGATTTTACTGTATATAGCTGTACAGAGATTTCAGTATGAGGAAAAGCCCTTTGGTTCATTAAACCATAATTATATATACATATATATATGTTGTGTTGTTGTTATGTGTCATCGAGTCAGATCTGACTCATAGCGACCCCTCCTTGAGTTTCCGAGGTAGTATCACTACGGTAGTAGATTGCCCCATCTTCCTTCCCAGGAGTGCTGGTGAGTTTGAACAGCCAGCCTTCTGGTTAGCAGTCAAGTGCCTTAGGCACTACACTACCAGAGCTCCTTACACACACACACACACACACACACACACACATATATATAAATCCACACAAAGTCTTTATTCAAAGGTGAAAGTAGTCAATCGGTTAGAAAAGACCTTGAAAGAGAATGTAAATAGTGACTGGGTAAAAAAAGTAACTATTTGGAAAAATATTTTCACTCTTTTTAAATAGACATAAAGAAACATAAAGAAAGGAGAGAAAAGTCTGAAGCTCAGGGAACTGTATCAGTGTCATTATCTTGGCTGTGACAGCATACTAGTTTTGCAAGATGTTATTATTGAAGGAAACTGGATAAAGGGTATACAGGCTAGCTCTGCAGAATTTCTTACAACTGCATTTAATTCTACAAGCAACTTAAAAGCAAAAAGTTTTTAAAAAGTAAAGAAATAGTGGTCTATCTAAATACATCAATGTTTAAAGGCATTTGGATAAAAAATTAGTGTTTAAAATTAAATTTGCTTCATATAGTACAGAAATTTGAAGATTATTATCTTAGTTTTTGAACACCATTTACATTACTGTCATATTTTATATGTACACATCTTTTTTTCTAGAAGAGAATTATAAATATAATTCTATAATATACAAATTTGTAATTTAATTTCTAAATTAAAAATATGTAGCAGATAACACACTAAGGGGATTCATGAGTGTGTCCAGTATAATATCTAAACAGTTTCTTTGGGCCAGTGATTATCATGGGTTTCTATTTTTAAATATGTCAACTAGGGGTGGTCTAGAAGAAAGAGGCTGAACTTACAGGCTGCCCATCTTCTCCTGGGTCCCCTTTGTCTCCTGGTCCACCAGGAGGTCCAGCTGGTCCTCGATCTCCCACTCGCCCATGAGAGCCGGGGTCCCCACGAAGACCTGGAGGTCCCTCCTTCCCAGGATCCCCTAAGGCTCCTGCTGGTCCTAGAGCTCCCTGGTACAACATAGAAAGAAACACCTTGAGGGCAAAGTAGAAGCCAAGTAAGAAGAACTGAAGTAATGGTCTGAGTATGATGCAAATGCCTGTTAGGTAATCAGTCATTCCATACATTTAAACAAAGCACAACAAAAAAGACCTGTAGATTGTTTTTCCAGGAGAAAATCTACATATCACTCTTCTGAGCTGTTAAGAGTAATGAAATTAACTTGAATTTTCAATTTCTTTAAGGCTCTGCTCTAACAAAGAATATACAGTATTTTATTCTCTCTGACCTTATCTTGGGAGCTCTGGTAGTGTAGTGCCTAAAGCATTAGACTGCTAACTAGAAGGCTGGCGGATGAAACCCACCAGCCACTACTTGGAAGGAAGACTAGGTGATCTACTTCCATAGAGATACCATCCCAAAAACCCAATGAAAGAATGATAACTATTAAAGAAAGTTTCAGAGATGTTTTCTGACTGAAGGAAATGATTATTAGCACATGATACTTTTAGCACATGATACCTCAATGGACAACACTCAAACGCTGGGGCTAAAAAGGACTTACAAATAAATTCTTCCCCAAAACATTGGATTATAAATATAAATGTGCATTGACAAAAATACCAGTATGAATTATTGGGAAAAGAGAAATCATCATAAGAAAATAAATAA